CGTATTAGAACCTAATGGTTTGGTACGTGATGGCGGCAAAAGACCAGATGGTATGTCGTTGCTGCCTTGGAAGATGGGTAGGCCTTTGGTGTGGGACGCGACGTGTGTAGACACCCTTGCGCCATCACATCTTTTAAGCACCGCTGCATGCGTTGGTGCAGCTGCTTCCACGGCAGAGGCCCTCAAACGGCGTAAATATTCAAATTTATTTAGATTCTAGTGGGTAACTACTGTTTTGAGCCGTTTGGGGTCGAAACACTTGGGCCATGGGGTCCCAGTGCACACTCTGTGTTTAAAGACATCGCCCGTAGGCTAATCGACTCTACACGTGACCAGAGGGCTGGCTTTTTCTTCGGACAGAAAATAAGCATTGCCATTCAACGTGGCAATGCTGCCAGTCTTCTGGGAACTTACCCTTGTGATAGTGATGCGGACGAATACTTTGACGCCTAAATTAAGGGTATAATTTTTGTTGTTTTCTTTTACTTTCTTTTTATTTAAGAGTTTAGTTGTAATTTACTTTAAATAGGCAAGAATAATTTTTATAGGTACATAGGTATTCAATTTTAGATGTCAGGCAAAACTTCATGCCCTGATCATCGCATGTTTATAAATTTTATCTCTGTATAATCTTAGTGGTCATTATTGTTTCCCACTGATATGATAAAGGTATATAATATATTATACCTATGTTGTTTCCATTCGACCGAGTGAGATAGACATAATGTGTCTATGGAATGTCTAGTGGTTTCAAACTTTCAAAAATCTTTCAAAGCTATCGTAAGGTACCTACGTTCATATGTCAAAAGCGGAGCCATGTTTGTGGACGCGCGGAAATGGCTTCTCTTTGGTTTAAATAACTCAATAAACGACGCCGATATTTTTTGTTTACATACAAAAAAACCCTGCCTATGTGAGCCCCAGTGAATAATATGATGTGGAATCATGATTTATTTACGGTAGATGTGTTCATTCTTTGATTGAAAATAATTTTGGACTGACTATCACTGATGTTCCCAGAACCGCTCGACATGATTTAAAAAACTTACTGATATTTATGCTATAGTAATCCTCACATCACAAATTTGTCACTATATCCCCCAGGGTAATCAAGCACTGAAATTATTATAAAATACCAAAGAAAAACTTTTAAAACTCACCTTAGAATTATGTTTATAAAATTAAATTATTGTTTTTCATTCGTGAGCAGTTCTCATACTACAAAGATACTACCAAAGAGTAAAATAAAATAAGTAGAGTATAGAGATATTATGTAGCAGTTGTCGTCCGACCAAAGACAGTTCGCAACAGACAAGAAAAGAGAGAATAATGATATAATTAACTTCTGGCATTAGATTGCACAGATTTATTCAATACATTTTTCACTTTGGCGCTCAAAACAGGAACTGTAGTCCCTTTGCGCCATTTACTGTTTAGCAAAACCGGACCACATTGAAGTTGAACTTCTGACGATTTCGTAACCGATTTTAACAAACTTCATAACAAAACTTGGGTACCAACATTAAAATCCGAATGAACTGTCATAGATAGAGGAGTGCCGATATGGATTACGAATAGAATTTATCGATGTCGATAAAATATTAGGCATAAAATATATAAATGGAGTTTCAAAACTAAATTTTGATAAATAGGAAAAATAAAACACTTGGCACATTTATAGCTTGTCTATTTAAACATGAAAACGATGTTTAAGCTCGAACAAAATTCAAAACTATGGCAACACTCAATGAAAGTATGTACATTTTTTTTTAAATAGGGGAAAATCATCGAATGGCTGCTCCCGCCTGGGTGAGGCGGGAGGGAGTGTCAGACTCTTACTGACTAAAAACCACCCCGTTCCTTCTCCTGCACGTCGAGCCGGAGCCCCAGTTACCCGTTAGGTTCTCCGCGACTAAGTATGTACATTGAATGTCATCTGTGATTGACATTGTTTTTGTTAAAACAATTTTTGTTAATTTTTCTCCATCGATTTTTATTTGACGGCCTCGTTGGCCGAGTGGTCGCAAGTGTGACTGGGAAAGGTGTCTCGGGTTCGATTCCCGGAATGGGCAAAGTATTATAGGGTTTAAAAAAATCTCAGTAGTAGCATGGAGTCTGAAAATATGCCCGGTCTACGGCAATAAACTTACCCCCCTATTACATGGGACTCGTAACATAAATTATGAAAAGTGGGTGTTACACTGTACAGCGGCATTGAGTGCCGTAATGTGCACCTCTGCCGTCTGCCTACCCCTTCGAGGATAAGAGGGGTTATGTGATGATATGTTCGATATTTAACTACTTACATATTTCTATACAATGAAAGGTCATTTTATTGCCATTAGCTCAAAACTATTTTAGTTCGTCTCCACGACTCTTCGCAAAGCGATAGCGATATATAGAGTTACATTTACGAAAACTTAAATACTAGTGCATCAATCTATGATAGGCATTATATACTTAATGGTTTACAAATCACTATGATCAGAGACAGGCAAGGCAAATCCAACCATTGACGTGGATTTAACATTCAAAATAACTAAAAAGAATTAGTATCGGAGACAAATTAAATATTGAACTTAAAATTGACGATATGAGCAATCAAGACAAATACTTACAATCAGAACATAAATAGTCGGCAACACAAAAAGTGAACATTTTTTTTTTTAAGGGGGGAAAGTCATCGAATGACTGCTCCCGCCTGGGTGAGGCGGAAGGGAGTGTCAGACTATTACTGACTAAAAACCACCCCGTTCCTTCTCCTGCACGTCGAGCCGGAGCCCCGGTTACCCGTTAGGTTCTCCGCGACAAAAAGTGAACATAAGGACAAAACGAATAAAAACAGTAACATTCGGGCAACATCACCATAAAGAATCAACCTATTTTTTCCGCGAAACTTACCAAGTGAGTCCAAGAACTGCACATCAACAAGGTCACTATAGCTATTCAGCAACCTGTAGAGGTATAGACGAGGGATGGGAGAATTAGCACCAAGTACACCTGCGTAGTGGAGGACACTATGGAGTTATAGGGGCTCGTGGATTTTTAGAGGGTACACGGATTCTAAGATTATTATTATTATTGTATGTCTTTACCATTCACGGGACCACAGGGTCCCGGTCATTTGGGAGGCATGCGAGGGGCCGAAGCCAACTGCGCAGAGGCCCTTTAGACAACTTTAATATAAATGTAATGGACACACAAACCGGCGACTATCCCTGTATGCACTATGGAAATGCACCCAAGGACAGTCTCCGGTTAGTGTAAAACTATTGAGGATAATGGAAAAAAAAAGATAGGGCTATGGATGGGTTGCTGTGGACTGGAAAATTGGGAACTATGGATGACTATGGCACCTGCCGAAACAATGTAATTATTACACGTAAAAATGGCAGGCGGAGACTCGCCAACTCACCGACCGGGCCCCGGGAATGGCTGCTAGATATAGCAACAGAGGGGCAACGAGAATGTGAGTGGCTGAAGGGTTAAGAAACTACCACGCTTTCTACTCAGATCATCTGCTCCAGCCGAAGCTTCCTGCATCCCTGGCCCACTCGCGACTTACGAATAGTTTCTTACCCTCCGAGCAGGATCACTGCTCTCGCGACTCCACTCTGGACGGCCAATGAAGGCAAGCCAGAGGTGGGAGACCTGTTCCTTGTCATCGTTCACTCCAGCCAGCCAATTAAGGCAAGCCGGAGAAGAAGGAACGGTGACTTCTCCCTGGAGCACTCGGGATGATGGTAGCCCGCGGGATCGCTAATGCCCGTCACCTCGCCTCAAGGTGCCCTGCGGGGTTATTATTATTATTATTATCTAGTGAGTCTCTTCGATTTTGTAGGGATATTATTTTGAAGTGACTCAACCTCTCATCATATGACAGCTTCTTATTAGCTATCCCGAAAGAGTACCTACGCTAAGTGCCACAAAAATCTTTTTTAAATCCGCTCCAATTTCAATGTTGGGTGGCATAGTGTCGTCTCCATACAACGCTACAATACTCCAGGGAGCTATGAACTAGACAATTATAGAGAAGTATTTTAGTCTGATTCTGGCGAAAGCAAGTAACATTTCTGATGACAAACCCCAGCATTCTAGATGCTTTATACTTTTATGCTTTTTTTAACTTTATTTTCAATGTGGGGAATTGATATGAATATCACACAGAAAGTTCATTTTGTTATAGATCTAATAAAGATAAGAAAGGATTCAAGATCCCATCCTGAATGTTGACTACCGCAATGAACAATGAACAATCACACAATCGAACCTACAACACTATGTAACTAAAGAGAATTGTACCCGATTGAAAAAGAGTAACCTATAGATTTCTTGCTCGTTCTTCTCCATAGGAATCTACACCTTGGAACGAGCAACTAGCTAGCTTCACTTCTAAATTTTTTTGTTGTTGACGTTCAAAAGTGGCTTCCTGGTCTAATTGAAATAAATGATTTTGACTTTTTTTTAACGGATTCCTTACTTTAAACCATTTAAACTTAGTGCTTTATGTTTATATGAGTATTTTCACAAAAATCCTGACTTTGTCCAGTAAGATTTGATAATTTTTCGCCTATGTCTAATTATCCGCGTTTTCGCAAAACCCCTAGGATTTCCGCGAAGATTCGAAGTATCAAATTATCCTACGACACATATACTTCACCTTTGGTCATAGAGCTTTAGATTTATCATAAAGTGCTGACAAATAGAATTAGTCTATGGCAATTAGCCGCTGAGCGATGGAATTTTTTAACAAATATTATAAATCCCTGGAACTCAGCGAAAAATTCTATAATGAATTTTCTAAATAGCTAAGCTTGAGTTATTTAATTTTGTTGTATGTTTATGATGCCATTCAGTACTGCAACTGATATAGCGAAATGCAACACATCATACAAAAGTTACGGCCTTTGTGTGAGAATGTCAATCAAAATATTAGCTGATGATAACACTCTTATCAGTTAGCGAGTGGTGTTTAAAGAACAAGTTTAAAAACATAAAAAATGTTCAAATTACTGGTTTTAATATTATACATAGGCTTTAATTATTGTTTAGTTGAAGGCGAAAGAAGTATTCCGACCGTAATAACGACATGGTCATTCACAAATGCTTCAGAAAAAGGTAAAGTAAGTTTAATAATAATAATTAATAGTCGTTGAGTATGAAATTATTTGATTATATCTTTATTTTATTAGTTATAGGCAGTATAATTTTACTTATGTTTTTACACAAAGCTAGTGTAATATGCAGTAATAAATAAGTTATGTCATTTATTTTCCTATATGTACTTAGTCATCCTGAATTCTGGGTAAAACCTATTGAAAATAAGTTAACTATAAATACCTTAAATAAATAAAAAACTGTGGCTTATTGCCCAATTTAAATCCACATATAATAAATAAATATCCCAAGCTCAAAGAAATAAATAGGCATTATTATGTTAGGCCTTGATTTGTTTTAGCAATGATTCTTAAAAAATGTCTTATTTTTTGCAGCATGGGAAGTCCTTAAGAATGGAGGCAAAGCCTTAGATGCTGTAGAACAAGGTGGCATAGTATGTGAAAACGAGCAATGTGATCGGACAGTGGGATATGGAGGAAGTCCTGATGAAGATGGGGAGACAACACTAGATGCCTTTATAATGGATGGGTAAATCCTTTTAGTTCTATATTATTGTATTACTTACTTTTACATTTAACGCTAGAATAGTAAACAAAAACTTTTTTGGATTTTTTTCAAATTTTTAGATGTTGAATTAATAATTCTCTCAAAATGCCAAGTGTGATAGTAAATATTTATCTCTTTTTTGAAGTGCTTGTCAGATATTGTGATAAATTCACTCAGAATTGAGATATTATTAGATAGAAGTTATGTTACACAAAAATAATGATTGTTTCTTTATTATCTGAAAATCAAATGTGTAAAATGGTTGCTTCTCTTCTACTCTTTCTACATTTTGAAACTAGCACCAATCTTCACTACATAGTATCAAACAAAGTCTCTATCCGCTGTCTGTACGGACAGACATTCTAAGGGCTGTCCCTATGTATGCTTAGAATGTAAGCCTTAGATCTTATCCTACGCAACGCAATCCTTGATGCGATGTTTTTTAATAGATAGAGTGATTCTTAAGGAACATTTATTTGTATAATACATGCATATTGCACCTGTGCGAAGTCAGGGCGGGTCACTAGTTACTGATAAACTAATTGATAAACAACTTCATATACATTACATATTTCAAAACTACCTGTGATTAATTGAAATAAATTTTTATATCCTTACAACTTGACACATAAAAGACGCAATTTTTTCAATAGAATAAATAATCAAGACATGTTTTCTACACAATACAATGGTTATTTCTTTATTTTATTCTTATTTTTTTACATAAATATTTAACAAAGTAACACAAATGTAATAATTTTATTTATTTGAGACCATTCATGACATCTGTAATATTCAAACAAAGTTTAAAATAAATAATCATCAGAACATACATAGAAGAAAATGTTGCTACTATAATAATCGACTTCCTCATTGGCTGAGTGGTTGCATGTGTGACTACCGGGCAAGGGGTCTCCGGTTTTAGTCTCGAGTCAGGCAAAGTATTACTGGGTTCCTGGAATTGTGCCCTGTATATGGCAATAGACTCACCCCCTATTACATTTGATTCCTAACATAAATAGTGAAAAGTGGTGGAAAAAAATGTAACACTTATTTTAAATAACATTTTCAGGAAAACAATGAATGTTGGTGCAGTGGCAGCTCTACGGAGGATAAAAAGTGCAATATCAGTTGCTCGACATGTTATGGAGTACACAAAACATTCATTCCTGGCTGGAGAATTGGCTACAAAGTTTGCTGTTGAAATGGGATTCAAGGAAGAATCTCTTTCTACTGATGAATCTATGGAATTATGGTCAAAATGGCGGTTTCAAAAACAATGCCAACCCAATTTTCGGAAGGTGAGCTTGTATTAATCACTACGCCCATATGCGTAGCTTTCAACTTACAAAAATTCTCGATTAAACATATTCGACTTTTTTTTTGTATGCTTATTGTTATGCTAAATGAAAACATTTTTATCATTTGACCCAGATAACATGTTCAATGCAAAATGGTTAATTTCTTTCAGAATGTGAAACCAGATCCACGTAAACATTGTGGGCCTTATCATAAAAAGAGGAATTTTATTGATTACATACATCCTGAAGTGTTTGTAGTTGACCGATATAATCATGACACTATCGGTATGGTTGCTGTGGACAGTGAAGGAGATGTAGCAGCTGGTACTTCTACTAATGGTGCTAAGTTCAAAATACCTGGGTAAACAGTTTAATTTTATATTACTGTTCACAACAAACATTTTACAACAATAAAAATTAAATAATTTCAATAATTTAGAAAATCTAAATACAAAGTGCTTAGGAATTGAACTTATTTATTTATTTATTTATTTATTCATGTACAATACACAGAAAAAAAAAATATATATATAACAAAAACTGCGTTTAAAAAAACCGACTTCAAAAACAAATGACAAACAAAAAGTAAAAACTAAAAAGGAAAAAAAAACTATTAGTGGTCATACGTACTTATAGCTTACACACCCACTGATAGGTTAGAAGTCGGTGCCACAAGTTTTAAACAAAATTATTCATTAAAAACCTAACATTATTGAGCTGTTTACAATTTTATTATGGATTATACCAGCTGTGACTTTTGTCTACTTTATATTTTATTGTGGGTTTGTGGCACCGACTTCTAACCTATCAGTGGGTGTGTAAGCTATAAGTACGTATGACCACTAATAGTTTTTTTTTCCTTTTTAGTTTTTACTTTTTGTTTGTCATTTGTTTTTGAAGTCGGTTTTTTTAAACGCAGTTTTTTAATTTTATTTTATACTTTTTAGTTTAGTACTTTGATATATTATATTATACAAAACCCACATGGATGCAAAGTTTTCATCAATACAAATTATGCAAGTTCAAACACCGGGTGGGTACTCTTAACCATTGAGGAGTCACTTAGCTATCATACTACTTCGTCATTAGACCTTTAATGACCATCCCCCCCCCCCCATCTAGGGTAAAGTCCTCATCATCAATACAAATTAATCAAACCTAAACACAAAATAGCTACGTTAACCGTTAAGGAGTTCCCTCAACTATCGTACTACTTCACCATCAGATCCTTATTGACAATTACACCGCACTCAGGTGTAAAGTCCTCATCAATACAAATTAATCAAACCCAAACACAAAATACCTACTGTTAACCGTTAAGGAGTTCCCTCAACTATTGGATTACTTCATCATCAGACCCTTATTGACAATTACACCCCACTCAGGTGTAAAGTCTCATCAATACAAATTAATCAAACCCAAACACAAAATACCTACTGTTAACCGTTAAGGAGTTCCCTCAACTATTGGATTACTTCATCATCAGACCCTTATTGACAATTACACCCCACTCAGGTGTAAAATCCTCATCAATACAAATTAATCAAACCCAAACACAAAGTAGCTAGTGTTAACCTTTGAGGAGTTACCTCAACTATCGTACTACTTCATCATCAGACCCTTATTATCAATTACACCCCACTCAGGTGTAAAGTCCTCATCAATACAAATAAATCAAACCCAAACACAAGGTAGCTACTGTTAACCGTTGAGGAGTTCCCTCAACTATCGTACTACTTCATCATCAGACCCTTATTGACAATTACACCCCACTCAGGTGTAAAGTCTTCATAAATACATTAATCAAACCCAAACACACGGTAGCTAGTGTTAACCTTGAGGAGTTCCCTCAACTATCGTACTACTTCATCATCAGACCCTTATTGTCAATTACACCCCACTCAGGTGTAAAGTCCATCAAACAAATTAATCAAACCCAAACACAAAGCTACTGTTAACCGTTAAGGAGTTCCCTCAACTATCGTACTACTTTCATCAGACCCTTATTGACAATTACACCCCACTCAGGTGTAAAGTCCTCATCAATACAAATTAATCAAACCCAAACACAAGGTAGCTACTGTTAACCGTTAAGGAGTTCCCTCAACTATCGTACTACTTTATCATCAGACCCTTATTGACAATTACACCCCACTCAGGTGTAAAGTCCTCATCAAGACAAATTAATCAAACCCAAACACAAGGTAGCTACTGTTAACCGTTGAGGAGTTCCCTCAACTATCGTACTACTTCATCATCAGACCCTTATTGACAATTACACCCCACTCAGGTGTAAAGTCCTCATCAATACAAATTAATCAAACCCAAACACAAGGTAGCTACTGTTAACCGTTAAGGAGTTTCCTCAACTATCGTACTACTTTATCATCAGACCCTTATTGACAATTACACTCCACTCAGGTGTAAAGTCCTCATAAATACAAATTAATCAAACCCAAACACAAGGTAGCTACTGTTAACCGTTGAGGAGTTCCCTCAACTATCGTACTACTTCATCATCAGACCCTTATTGACAATTACACTCCACTCAGGTGTAAAGTCCTCATAAATACAAATTAATCAAACCCAAACACAAGGTAGCTACTGTTAACCGTTGAGGAGTTCCTTCGACTATCGTACTACTTCATCATCAGACCCTTATTGACAATTACATCCCACACAGGTGTAAAGTCCTCATCAATACAAATTAATCAAACCCAAACACAAGGTAGCTACTGTTAACCGTTGAGGAGTTCCCTCAACTGGCTCTCGGCTCCTTCATCAGATCGGCTCCAGACCTTTATCAGATTGTAGTGGTTTTTAATACTTAATGAAAAAATTAACAAATGCTCTAGTCACCCCTATAATTTTTAAAATTTCCCCTCGGTTTCCCTGGTCTTCCATCATCAGATCCTGATTTCCTTATCATGGGACCATTCTGGAACTATCTCCTTTCTAACAAAAAAAGAATTTTCAAAATCGGTTTATAAACAACGGAGATATCGGCGAACAAACATAAAAAAAAAAAAAAAAAAAGCATATATACGGTCGAATTGAGAACCTCCTCCTTTTTTTGAAGTCGGTTAAAAACAGAGGTACATAGGTACTGCATATCCCTTATGGGATTTCTTCCTGCAGCCCTGCGAGAGGAGAAATAAATAGATCATATAAGACAGTGTGTAACAACAAAAAACAAAACAAACAAACAAGAAGAAGACAGTGAAAACTTAAACTAATAATTAAAACTACTTACAGACTAACAAAAATATTACAATAAAAACATACAAAATAAATATAAATAAGTACTTATACATATACTTCCAACAAAATATAGAAATATAATAGATACACATTATTATACATACTATATGTAAATAATATATAATACTATATAATAAAATACATACAATATAACACAATCTGTACTTAAGAGGAAAGGAGATAATGTTCCCTCACACATTTCTTAAAGATTGATATAGATTTAGAGTCACGTATGTTAGGCGGGAGCGCATTCCACAGCCTCACCGCATGAACCGAGAAAGAATAAGAGTAGTAGTCGGTTTTATGGGATACAATTTGGAGATGTGATTTAAGATGTGATCGGGAAAGGGAATCAGGAGGACGAGCAAAGGAAAAACGTTCACGAAGGTAAGAAGGATAAGTTGAATTAAAGAGGATATTGTAGAGAAGACATAAAATGCGAGTGTTCCTGCGAAGGCGGATTGGGAGCCACTTGAGTTTTTTACGAAATTCGGAGATGTGATCATATTTTCTTAGGCCGAAGATGAAACGAATACCGATATTTTGCAATCTCTCAAGCTTATTTAATAGCTCCTCAGTGGCATCCAAACAGCAAGCGTCTGCATAATCGATCAAAGGCTGGATCAATGACTGCACGAGGAGGATCTTTGTTTTTAATGGCAAAAGAGTCTGGAGACGCTTCAGCGAGTGGAAAGAATAGTGAACTTTTCGACTGACCTCACTCACCTGGGAACCCACGACAGGTACGAATCAATGTGCACGCCCAAATTCTTAGCAGTGTTAGTAAATGGGATCGCAGTTCCATCCAGACGCAAAGAATTAAGGGCAGAGATGTCTAATGCATTGCGAAAGTATCTACTTCCGATAATCATGGCCTGGGATTTAAGCGGGTTAATTTGTAGGCCGAAGGATCTGGCCCACTCGGCGACCCTGTCCAAGTCACGATTCATCGCATCAATCGCAGTTTTAGCCTCCGAAGGATTGAAGTGTTGGTAAAGTTGCAAATCGTCTGCGTAAAGATGATAATTAGAAGATATGACCCTGGCAACGGTATTGATAAAAACAGAAAAAAGAATAGGAGAAAGGACGCCACCCTGGGGCACACCGGCAGCAAGGTCACACCAATCGGAAAAGTTTTCGTCCAAGCGAACCCGCTGACGGCGACCCCGAAGGTAGGAGTCGAACCAGGATAAAGAGGAAGGAGAGAGGTTGTTGGCCTTCAGCACCCCCAAAAGGATATCAAAATCCACGGAATTGAAGGCAGAACTGAAGTCCAACAATACAAGGATAGTGAGTGATTTGTTATCCATTGCCCAGCGAATGTCGTCAGTCACTTTAAGCAGAGCTGTAACAGTGCTGTGACCGGGACGGAAACCAGACTGGAAGGGAGAAATAAGGTTATTAGTCGCTAAATATGAAGAAAGTTGCTTATGGACTAGATGTTCCATAACCTTTGAAAGAAAAGGGAGAATAGAGATAGGTCTGTAATGAGACAGAGAGGAAGGATTACTGATTTTAGGCAACGGGATAATATGGGCCAACTTCCAGGAGGAGGGAAACGAGCAAGAGAATAATGAATAATTAAAAATGTGTGTAAGGATAGGGATTAAAAGATGGAGGATGGGGAAGAACATTCGAGAACATAGATTATCACTACCTACTGCAGAAGATTTAACAGCAAGCAATGACTTTTCTACGTCCTTTTCAGACACACAGCTGAGTTCGAAAGGAGAACAAGAAGGAGGAGATAAACATAAGAGGTGGGATAGGGTGTTAGATTTAGTTGAGCTATCAAGCAAAACTGGGGAGAGTGAGAAATGATTATTTAACGAGGTAAGGTCTTCACCATTGCAAACTGCAATAGGAGATTTACCGATACCCACAGATCGCAAGAATTTCCAAACATCCGCAGAGTCACGATTGACCAAGTTCTCGTCGAAATAATGCCTTCTAGCGTCCCTACACAGACGATTACAACGATTGCGTAAAACTTTATAATAAGCTAAGTTTTCGTCAGTAGGTCTACGCTTAAATTTCTGCTTGGATCTGTCTCTGCGAGCCATGGCTTCCTCGATAACAGAAGTGAGCCAGGGCGCTGGATCATGTTTCACTTTCACACGGCGCACCGGCGCATGCTTGTCAAATAAATCAAGCATGATTTTATTAAAAGAATCGACTTTGACGTTGATATCCTCAGTATCAACCACAACTCGCCAGTCAATAAGGCCCACATCGCGCCGCAACGTCTCCAAATCCAATCGCTTATAGCTACGCAAATTCATGAATTGGGGTCTCCGTTTAGGTGTCCGGATGCGGTAAGATAAGTAAATAAGGTCGTGGTAAGAGAAAGAAGCAGTCATTTGGCCATGATCGTCTACGTGATTAGGGGACGACACGATCATGAGGTCGAGCCAAGATGGAGGAGAGTTGGGAGAATGGTGAGTTGCTGAAAGAGGAAGTAGGTGAAGATTGAGAGAAGTCATAAGGGATGTGAATCTGCGAGCACGAGAATCCTGCTTAAGTAGACATGTGTTGAAATCACCCATGATTATAACATGTTTATAATCAGGACATAGGGTATTGAGGTGAACGTCGAGATCGTCGAAATAGTTTATGTGGAGATTAGGACTGTACAGAACGGCTACCAATATCTTATTAAAGTTGATCGAGATCTCAACAAACATAAACTCAGCCGACTCCGAGTAGGGCGATGGGGATACTTTAATGACACGAAAAGGCAGATCGAAGCGAAGGTACATAGCAACCCCACCCCCCCCTTTGCCGGTTCTATCATTGCGCACCAACACAAAGCCCGGAATGGAAAAGTGCGCTGAGAGAAGCGAAGGCTTGAGGAAAGTCTCGGAAATCAGCAAAATGTCGAGATGAGCATTGCTAAAGGACGCCAGAAGATCAGAATAATGGCCAGGAACACTCTGCGCATTAATGTGAGCAATGTTTAGGTTTTTAGGATAGAATGAGAACACCTTTGATAATTTGTCGTGTAGAGTAAGCGGATGGGATGCTCTACTGTCCGCACTAACAAAGCTAGACTCCGAAGAACATGAAAAAAAACTGTCATTAAGATCAGCAAAGTTATCCATTAAAGTACAGAAATAATAAATAAACTATAATATATAAAATAATAATACGATAAAATATAAAAAAAAAAAAAAAAATATTAAAATAAGAATAAAATTAAGGTACTGTTTAATTTGCCTGTATATAAAACAACCTCCCCAACCTGCCAATATCTCATAAGATGGTTCAAGCTAATGAGAGAGAAAAAAAAAGAAACAGATATTATTAGGTACATGCCCTTAAAACTAATACAACATTAACAATATGAATAATTGTATAGGTACGTAACAAAACGCGCGACATTGACGTTGACAGTTCAATGACACGATTTGACACATCTGACATAATTTGTTATTGACAGTAAATTGAAAGGACCGATAAACCGTCAACATACTGGCGAAACTACCTATAATAAACTAATATTATCAAACTACCGGCGAAGTGACAAAATTGAACAAAATAGTCTTAAGTTAATACCGTGACCGGGGGCAAAGTCCAATTGTATAATTACCGGAACAGAATATTGTGACGTACCGCTGACAAACTGTGCACTTAACGACGGCGTGCGGGACGCACCTTCCTCTGGACTTTAGCCTCTGGTTCAGCAGTCATGCGGGCAGGTATATTTAGGTCAGCAGCTGGTTCTGGAGTGCCACCTTTAGAGGGTGTGAGGGGAAATCTGACAACCAGTTCCTGCAGCTGCGACATGCATTCAATTTTGTGTCGCGTCTTATCAGGTGCAACAATTACAATTTTCCCCTCCACTGACCAGCAATTGGATATTCCGAAGTGCTTGCGGGCAGCCATGAATGCACGGTGACGCAACTGCGTCAGGAACTCTGAGATCGTGATACCAGTGCCTTTTAAAGACTTCTTGTTATCCCAGACAAGGTGCCGGTGCTCTGTCATATAAAAACGCACAAGGATTGGCCTCGAACTGCGGCCAGAAGAACCCAGTCTATGGCAAACATGGATATTTACTTTACCAAGCTCAGCCAACTTCATTTGGTCTTGAAATACCTTGCTAACTACATCCGGCAACTGCTCATCTCTTTGCTCGGGGATACCGTGAACCAGGAGTACCTTGCGCCGCATAGCAGTCTCGTGCCTGTCAAATCCGTGCGCCATTAGTTCAATCTGCGACTTGAAGTTAGCCAGTGCTTGCAACATAAATTGCTTGAATTCAGTAAAGTCTTCATGTAGCATGGCCAAATCAGGTGTAGGTGACTGTGCAGACAGTTTCTGAAGCTTTTCCTCATAAGTAGCCATCCTTGTAGCAAACAGGGCCTGCAAGTGCTCGTATCTGCTGTCTGTCATGTTAACACTTAGCTTGTTTTGAAGAGGAGAGACTGGATAATAATTATTAGCAAGTAAAGGGGGGTCTTCACTTCAGATGCCTTGTCATCATAATAATTTTGTATTAATATTTTTCCCATTTTCATGTCAAGGCATAAATAAATATGACTTTATAAAGTTTTTTACTCGTCTTATTTGTATTTTCATATGATTGTCATTTGTTTTAATAGAAGAGTAGGCGACTCTCCCATTCCCGGTGCAGGGGCTTACGCTGACAATACAGTAGGGGGAGCGGCAGCTACTGGTGACGGCGACACCATGATGAGGTTTCTACCTAGGTTGGTATCTCCTTAGTCAATCAACATACTTAAAGTCTTATTACTGAGTAACTGACTGACGGTCTAATATCTCGAAATGTCAGTGGGCGAATTACCCAAATATGACCGCATCATTTAGATAAAAATCTTTTTTACTGAATCATGGGGTGTGTGCTGAATATTTTTTTTTGTTTCTTAGTTTCTTAGCTGTAGAGGAAATGCGTCGAGGGGCATCACCAACGGATGCCGCGAAAACTGCAATCAAAAGAATCTCAGCACATCATCCTGATTTCATGGGTGCTGTAATAGCTTTAACCAAAAATGGCCAATACGGGGCCGCGTGTAATGGTATCGAAACGTTTCCATTCGTTGTGCAAGATAAAACACGAAAAACATTTGAAGTTGTTACTATTAAATGTTGATTTTTATATATTTCATATTATAAAAAAACTGTAAAATAAACCCAAGTTTAAAATAAGAATTTGTTTTATTCATCATTTGAATTTAAAGTCAAATAATTTAACTGACTTATATGAATTGAATTCATTCATCATCCAGGGCCCAGGGACAGAATTCAATTTTTTCAACTTCCTTGGTTGGAATAGTGTTCTCGATCACTGCATCATATCCACTGATATGATAATCTTTAATCATATCAATGATCACTGCTCATTGTACGGAGCTTTCTGTTACCTACTTATTAAATAAAAAGTGCGTAATAAAATGGGCCGTACACGATCTATCTTGTTATGAACATTAAACCTTTTAAAAATTAAAGGCAAGGTATATACACAGACGTTAAAAAAGGGGTATAGATTTATTGCATTGTCTTATTTCATTTGATAGGATAGGACATTTCAAATTAGGAATCATAACTTGGTCAAAGACCAAAACCCAATGTGTCAAAGCAACCATAGTCAATCAAGTCTGAACTGATCAACTGAATACCGTAGAGATGTACCTACCCGACCCGCTCGGATAACTATATTTTATACCACTAGGAATGTGAGTCGAGTTTTAACTCGATTTTAATTTTGATTTCGAAAATAAGTTGAGTCAATTGGATTTATGTCTGATAACATAATATTAATGATTTATTATTTGAGCATATTTTAAGTAACAAAAAATCATTGCATTTGTTTTACCAATGCGTAATACATCAAAACAAATAAAAAAATGAATACGAGAAAATATTAAAAATCAACTAATCCTTTCAAATTCAAATAAAATTAATTTATAATAATATCTTTTAAGTTTAAATATTGTATGTGCATCTTGTACATAACCACTACCACTATTATAAAATGAAACTTGATTAACAGTCGGTCTAAACCAAGTTGAGTACAACTCGAGTCAGTAAATCGATTTGAAACTATAGGTACATCACTAAGTCAATGTCAACTCAGGAACGCCAACCATTTCTCGGCCATTTTGAGTTTGACTGTCTCACTGCGCTCACAGTTCAACGTGAGTTAAAATTTCATTCTTGTAATTTTTAATTTATTATGTTAATAATTGTTTTAATTATGTAGTTTATTAATAGATATATATCTTGTTATGCTTGTGTTGGTTTGAATTCTATTATAACACTATTTTTGCAAAGTGTAGTGTGCAATTTACCACCACGTGGTTTTTATATTTTCATGATGAGAAAACTGAATTCATTCGTGGTACCTTGAATGTTAACACATGGTGATTTTTTTAACGCGTCTGATTTTCCCAAAATATTGATACTATAAGATAGTTTACCATCATGATGCTAATTCGTACCTATACCTAACCTCTGATTTTACAGAATGGCGGACGCAGCTCCAGCCGGTGGACGTGGCGGTTTTCGCGGAGGTTTTGGTTCTCGTGGTGGCGATAGAGGCCGTGGCGGTCCTCGTGGCCGTGGACGCGGTCGTGGTCGCGGCCGTGGACGCGGCAAGGAAGACCAGAAGGAGTGGGTGCCCGTAACCAAACTGGGCCGTCTCGTACGCGAGGGAAAGATCGACAAACTCGAAAGCATCTACCTATTCTCTCTGCCCATCAAAGAGTTCGAAATTATCGATTTCTTCCTCGGCCCCTCTCTCAACGATGAGGTTCTCAAGATCATGCCGGTACAGAAACAGACCCGTGCCGGTCAGCGTACTCGTTTCAAGGCCTTCGTGGCTATTGGAGACAACAATGGACACATTGGTCTAGGTGTGAAGTGCAGCAAGGAAGTCGCCACTGCTATCCGTGGTGCTATCATCCTCGCTAAGCTATCTGTCCTTCCAGTCCGCAGAGGTTACTGGGGTAACAAGATCGGCAAGCCCCACACAGTACCTTGCAAGGTAATTATAAACTCCTGCCATTTTTACTTTTTTTTTATTGAAATTTCATGATGAAACTGATAATCATCTCATTCGTGGTATCCACTTGAGGTTTCCAATGAAGTATGTTAACGCGTCTGATTAATCATCTTCAAAATATCGATTTATTTTTATATGAACTAGATTAACTGAGATGTTTTAATTCATTGTTTTCAGGTCACTGGAAAGTGTGGTTCAGTCACTGTAAGACTAATCCCTGCTCCTCGTGGTACTGGTATTGTATCAGCTCCTGTGCCCAAAAAGCTGCTTCAGATGGCTGGTGTCCAGGACTGCTACACCTCTGCTCGTGGTTCCACTGGCACCCTCGGAAACTTTGCCAAGGCCACTTATGCTGCTATCGCTAAGACCTATGCATACTTGACTCCTGACTTGTGGAGGGACATTCCATTGACCAAGTCCCCTTACTCTGAGTTCAAGGCCTAAGACAGTTTCACTAAAACTGAAATAAAAAAATTTAACACCTTACCTTTGTAATTTTATTTGTTACCTATCTATAGTTCTCTAATTTATGCCTACTATTTAAGAATGTCACTGTTAGTACAACAGAACTTATCATGGAAAGAAATGTTTCCATTATATTGATGCTTTATCAATAAACTGCCCAAGTTACAACAGTACCTAAGTTATACCATGTTATACCCAATAGCTATCCTAATAATCGTTTGTGATGGTACGTATTGCTGACTTAGCGACTTAGTAGCTGCTGCTGTGCATATTTTCGGAAGAAATTTCTACCGTTCAATATAACATTAGTACCTTACCTACTACGACATACTTGCATGGGGACAGGGTAGGTAGGTACCTACCTACCTACTTGTAAAGGAACCCTTTGCCTACCACCAGGGCTGTTCCAAACTATAGAGGTACCCTCGCGGGCTAACCGAAGCTGGAGGACCATAAAAATATTTTGAGTTGTATATTGACGTTTGACATTGTACCTAGGTAGTTTTGTCTGTGAGTAAAGAATAGGTACCTACCTACCTCCCTATGGTATGGTAATGGTATTTCTTGCTTTGAGTTTGATTTGTTTAAATGCGCTATTTTCCAGAACGCCTGGTTCGAATTTAATGATTATTATTGTGAGATACTTCATTAATCGAGGAAGGCTATAAAACATCACGCTACAATCGGTAACAGCTATTGCAGCCGAGCAGAGCGAATGAAATTGGGCAGAAGTATCTAGCTTAGTTATATGAATCATTAAGCGGGCGTAATTTTAGGAAATGGATTATAACTGTTGGCACTTTATTTAGTGAGGCGAATGCCAAGCCAAGTCAACCAGATTATGGGGGTTTCCTTGTATTTTTGTTTTGGAAATACACGAGTAGCATAAATACTTATACTGGGAAAAAGCTGATATAACATTTAATGTGTGCCTAATGGCATTAGTAATTGGCTTTCCATAGTCTCTGCCAAGCAGGCTAGCCCCATGGTAGAAAGGCGTGAAGTTATGTATGTATGTGTGCCCAATGTGCTCCTCTTATTACGTCAAGAATAATATCATAGATGGCGTGTTTAGGTAATTTAAACAAATAATAAACAATGAAAAACAATTTTTACATTTTATTAAATTCTTTTACTTCTTTTTCAAATAAATCTATGGTGTGTTCACATACTTTTTCTAAATCTTGGAAACCTCTTTTTAATATTTCTAGCGCTGGTGTCTTTTTTGTTTGGATTCTAAAGTGCATTTTGTTTTCTGCTGGGTGTGGGACTGTGTAGGCGCAGAAGTCTACATCCTCACTGTAAACATAACACAATATTTATTAGTAACTAGTATATGTAGTATAGTAGTATAGAATTATGTAGTTATATTAGTAGGTAGGGGTCCCGCCACAGATTTTCTTGGAAGAATCTTCTGTTCACAACAGTCGCGTGACTATATACCCTTATATATACCCTTTTATTATATACCCTTTCAAGGCCCAAGGCAAATTCATGGGATAGGCCCCCATTCTGAATAAAAAACAGAAGTTCAGTTGAAATCCTCTGAACCGCGGTCCCATTCAGCTAGGGGCATGTGACATTTTGCAGACTTGCCACCCTGAAGTTACACTGGTTGATAATACCAAACTATAAACAACAAATTGACGAAATTTGTTCAGCCATTCAAGGATCACAGGAAACAGGAATAATTTTTTAGAGTACATAATTTGTGAAACCATAAGTTTGAGAGTTTATGAACTATTTTTAGTTTTAAAATGTTTGATACTTACTATCTATTAATAATGCATTTCAATGCATTGCCTAATGTATGGCTTTCGTTTTGAAATACATAAGTCCTGCATGTTGGGCCAGAGTCCTCATCTCCTGGTAACTGAAAACAATTTATAAGATTACTATAGTCCATGTATTTTATCATCATTACATCAGTCTGTCCCACTGCAGGGAAATGGGCTCTTAGTACATGCAAAAAGGAATGACAATGAAAAATTTATCACCATGTTTGGTTAACTTTGAAGTTATAAATTCAAGTTTCCTTACAATATTTTCATTCATTGTATATAATTCATTGTATACATTAGTGAGAGAGTATATATATATTACTTGGAAAGTTTTGTGTTTACTGTTACATTTATAGCAGTGTACAAACTAAGTTCATAGGTATGAGGTTGCCGAGGTTATGTAGACAAGTTGTAACTTACATTACGAGGTTAAACAAATAAATAATAAAATGTAACATATTAAAATTAGGAGAGAAAAATAGCCATAATTACCTCAGTCACCTTCATTTTTCAGGGTTTTTCTTATGTTTAATACTCAAGACGAAGTTTAACTTGTTTAACAACAGTTGAAAAAGCACTGGAGATACTAATGTTGTATATTCCAATGAAACGTATAGATTTATACAAACTGGTTGAGTAAAATTATGTCTAAAAGAGTTCAAAAGTGGGTAATTATGATGATAAGTTTCAACTTGTGCACAAACGTGCTCTGTTTTGATTTAGAAAAATAACATGATGGTTCTGTCAATGCTGATAACATTAAGTCAAGATTGTCAAAAATGACAGCTGGCATTGACAATAATTTTTTTTTTTAGTTGCACGTCAGAACTTAGTACCTAGTCT